ATTAATCCATTTATTTAGGATTTGCTTTTGCATTTTCGCAGTTGTTTTAGGATGCAAAGTTTTTTCTTTCCCCTACAGCGACCCAGGACCTGAATATGCCATCCATTTATTATTTTTTCTTGAATTGCTCCAGGCCTCCTCTATTATTATTATTATTATTATTATTATTATTATTATTATTATTATTATTATTATTTGCTGCATTTCTCCCTGATTCATTATCCCATTTGTTGCATGGCCCCGAATTTTTAAAAAAATATCAGACCTCAAGACTTGTAGTAAAAAAAGTCTTCCTTGAGCTCTTGACTCAGCCTAACGTTGAACCTCATTTAAAACCTGTAATAAGTGCAGGATTTTCTCGGGAAGGATTATCCTTATTTACTTAAAAGCAAATCCTCCAGGCTTCCATCCTTCCTACCTAAAAACAACGGCCCAAAATCAGAAAACGCCCTTAAAACCAAACAAAGCTGGATGAGAAAAGAATATATTAATATGTTCTTTACTAAATGCAACCTCCCCGAAAAGCTATTAGAATACTTTATTAATTGATTAGTCTTCCGGCCTTATCATTAATTAAAATACATAATCTGGGTCCAGGATAAAATAAATACATACATACATTAAAGCCCAGGAGGAAAGAAGGCAATCTTATCAGTTCCCAGTGGGCCGTTCTTTCCCAATAGGGAGAAATATTTTTACAATATTGCAATTTCCAACAGAGGCTATTCGAAAGTTGCACTTGAGTTTGCAGGTTAAAGAAGGTAACACACCCACGTTAGTTCGCCACTGCAAGGACACTACGAAGCCCATAGTCCCAAGTATTGCAAAGTCCATCCTCAGTAACCAAGTGGAGCTGGGAGGAGAGGGGAGAGATTAAAAAGAGTTCTTTATACCCGAATGGCTACTAAAAAGATGCATTTGGTTTGCACGTTAAAAGAAGGGAAAACCCGGGTTACTTCGCCAATGCAACGGGTACTGCAAAACCCGTAGTTCAAGTATTACATAGTCCATCCTCAGTAACCCAGCCGAGTGGAGGAGGGGAGAAAGAAATTAAAAAGTTCTTTTTAAAAATGGCTATTAGAAAGATGCATTGGGTTTGCAGGTTAAAAGAAGGAAAACCCGTGTTAATTCTCCAACGCAACGGTACTGCAAAACCCATAGATCAAATACGACAAAGCCCATCCTCAGAAACCCAGCCGAGTTGGGGAAGGGAAAGAAATTAAAAACTTCTTTAAATGCGCCCCCACACCTTTAAATGGCTGTTAGAAAGTTTGCACGTTCAAGAAGGGTTAATTCGCCAATGCAACGGTACTGAAAAACTGCATACTTTGTTCAAGTATTACAAAGTCCATCCTCAGTAATCCAGTAGAGGGGGAGGGGGGAAAGAAATTAAAAAATTATTTTTTTAAAAAATGGCTATTATTGGATTGCATAAAGATGCATTCGGTTTCCAGGTTAAAAGAAGGAAAACCCGCGTTAAGTCTCCAACGCAACGGGTACTGCAAAATCCATAGTTCAAGTACGACAAAGCCCATCCTCAAAAAGTGGAGGAGGAGGAGGGGGAAATAAATGAAAAAGTTCTTTTTATAAATGGCTATTAGAAAGATGCATTAAAAGAAGGAAAACCCGCCGTTAATTCTCCCAACGCCACGGGTACTGCAAAGCCCATAGTTCAAGTACGACAAAGCCCATCCTCAGAAACCCAGCCGAGTGGAGGAGGAGGAGGAAATAAATGAAAAAGTTCTTTTTAAAAATGGCTATTAGAAAGATGCATTGGGTTTGCAGGTTAAAAGGGAAACCCGCCGTTAATTCTCCAATGCAACGGGTACTGCAAAACCCATACTTCAAGTACGACAAAGCCCATCCTCAGAAACCCAACCGAGTGGAGGAGGAGGAGGAAGAAGGGGAAATCAATGAAAAAATCCTCTTTATAAATGGCTATTAGAAAGATGCATTAAAAGAAGGAAAACCCGCCGTTAATTCTCCCAACGCCGCGGGTACTGCAAAGCCCATAGTTCAAGTACGACAAAGCCCATCCTCAGAAACCCAGCCGAGTGGAGGAGGACAAGGAAGAAGGGGAAATCAATTAAAAAGTTCTTTTTTAAAAAATGGCTATTAGAAAGATACATTGGGGTTTGCAAGGGGGCCTAAATCCCCAGGGCCAGCCCCATTTGGGGGGGGTCTCTCTCTCTCTCTCTCACACCCACACGCAAAAAAAAAAAAAAAAAAAAAAAAACCCCCAGAAACCCATACACCCACCCCCCGGCCCAAGCTTGCCCAGTCACTCTCCCCGGGCGTCTCCAAAGCGCGCAGCGAAAGCGAGTCTGGTATTAAAAAAAAAAAAAGAACCCCAACGTTCGAAAGGGGGCGGCGCTTGCCCGGGCTTCGTTCCAAAACGGGGCGGCGCTTGTCCGGGCTTCGTTCGAAAGGGGCGGAGCCGAGGACCAGTTTTTTACTTCGCTTCGCTCCGCTCTTCTCCTGCATCGCTCGGGGGGGGGGAAAGAAGCCGGGCGAGAGCATCTTTTCCAAAGCGAGCACCGCAGCCGCCTCGGGGGGTGGGGGGACGGGGGAGGCCGCCTCCGGAGCGCCTCGCCCCGCCGCTTCTCCTGCTCCTGCTCCAACGCCGGTTGCCATGGCCGAGATCGCCAGCGTCCGCCCCAGCTTCGGTGAGTTGCACCGGTGGGGGGGTGGAGAGAAAGGCCGCTGCGCAGTGCCGGCTCCGCGGAAGGCCTTATGCCCCCCCCATAGGCCGGCATCCTCCTCCTCCTCGGCTGCAAAAACCCCCCGGCCCTGCTCTGCTCAGAGGCCGGGGATCCATCCCTCTCTCTCTCTGCTCTCGATCCAACGATCGAGGCTTGCTTGGCAGATTCCCCTCCCGCCCCCCCCAAATAATCACCCTGGAGGCGTTGCGGCGTTGCACAACTGCACCCCCCCTTCTCTGATCTGGTTGGGCCTTCGCGTGGTGTGGGATCTATAGCCCCCCCCCGAAAGCCTCTTGACCGGGAGCATCTTTGCAAAATGATCCCTGCGGGATCGAGAGATGCTGAGAAAAACACACACACACAGAGAGATAAAGAATGCTACACAAAATAGACACAGCCGCCAGCCCTACACAATCATCACCAGCACCTTGGGGCCTGGTGGTCTAGAAAGACTCTTCCTTCCGCTCCTTCCCTCCATCCTTTCTTTTCTAGCGTTTTTTTTCCCCCTCCTCTTAAGAATTGGTGTCATCTTAACGGTGGATGCCAATGAGATTTGCAAAAAAAAAAAAGCAAATTGCAAGGCCTTGGAGAAAAGGAGGCCCCTTCTCTCCAGGGAGGGAGGGAGGGAGGGGTGGGGAAAGGGGGAGAGTTTAGCAATGCCACCCGTCCTCGCCCATTTGCAACCCGGGTCCTTTCTTAACCATCCTATCCTAAAGGCAGGTAGTTGGGAGGGACTTACCTGTGCTAAAGGTACACGCATCTCTTATATTTCTTGCCGCTTCCTAGGGGGTTGGTGCCCCTTCCTTCAATTGCTCTGCCAACCCTCCACCCCGTCACCTACACGGGCGTGCCCAGTTTCTGGCCTGGCTAGGAGAGACCGGATCCTTAAGACTTTTCGGAAGGGGTGCAAAAGCTAACAGCGATCCTCATCGGAAGGGATTTCCGCCCCCCCCCCCCCATTCCCTCTAGGGTGGAGAAGCAGGGGGGCAGGGGTGTTGAGGGGGGGGGGGGGGGGGGGCCGCTAGGAAAAAAAGCAAGGATGACGTGATGTTTATTTCTAGGATGGGCAGTGCCCCGGCTCTTTGGAAGGCAGAGAAAGGATTTTTAAGAAAAACAATAACAAAAGCCTTTGTTTGCCTTGTGTGTGTGTGTGTCTGTTGTGTGTTTGTGTGTTGAACAATCTGGGTCTGGAGGCCCCCCCCCCCGCCCACCCCCTCGGGTAAAGCGGGCTGGAGGTGAATCTCGAGCTGCTGCAATTTCTTGCCCCCACCCAAGTGAGAGAGAAATCTGGTGCCCTTTGCAGTCCCGATGTGTTTGGGGGGGGCTCCTCCTCACCCTTAATTGCCCCCCCCAGGGGCATTCACACAAACACCAGCCATTTCCGAAGAAGCAGCCGAAGGGGCGCCTGGCGTGCCTCCCCTGGGGGAGAAAATGTGGCGACTGCCAGTCGCCGGTGTAATTTCCAACCCACTCACCGAGGGCTCCTCACCACCACGATGATTATTATTAATGGTAGCATATTTATTTACTATAGAATAACGGAAGGGACCTTGGAGGCCTTCTAGTCCACCCCCCTCTCTGTTCAAGCAGGAAACTCTTGTACCGTTACAGGCAAATGGTTGTCCCCATCTCATCTTAAAAACCTCCAGTGATTGAGCATCCACAATTTCTAGTGGCAAGTCGTTCCACTGTCTTATGGAGATCCTCAGTCATCCGGCATCCCAAAGGTGTTTTATTTTTCAAGAGGCAACTGGACTTTTTGGGGTTTTTTTCTTCGAAGACGTTTCGCTTCTCATCCAAGAAGCTTCCCCAGCTCTGTCGTTGTCTTTGTCTGATTCATTGTCCTCACTATCTGGAAATTCCTCCTTGGTTCTAAATTGCTTCTCTCCCTGATGAGTTTCCATCCGTTGCTTCTTGTCCTGCCCTCAGAGGCTTTGGAGAAGAGCTTGACTCCCTCTTCTTTTGGGGCAGCCCCTCAGATATTGGAAGACTGCTATCATGTCTCCCCTGGTCCTTCTTTTCATTAAACTACACATACCCAGTTCCTGCAATTCGTATATTTTATCCTCCACTCCCTTAATCCTCTTTGTGGCTCTTCTCTGCACTCTTTCCAGAGTTTTAACATCTTTCTTATATTGTGGCAAGAGGTCATCTAGTCCAAACTCCTGCCCAAATCAGAAACCCAATACCATTTCAGACCAATCGTTGTCCAATCTCTTCTTCACAACCTCCAATGATGGAGCACCCAGAACTTCTGGTGGCAAGTCGTTCCACTGGTTAATTGTCCTTGCTGTCAGGAAGTTTCTCCTTAGTTCTAAGTTGCTTCTCTCCTTGGTTAGGTAGTTGGTCTGTCATCAGCAACTGAGTTTAAACATGCTTGGAATAAACACATTTATTATAAAACCTCTTAACCTCCCTTCTCTCTAATGCGGGGGTGGGGGCTTTGAATTGAATTTATTTTATTTATTTTATTTATTTATTGAATTTATATCCCGCCCTTCTCCCCGAAGGGACTCAGGAAGGTGAACAGCCGAAAATTAAAATAACATACAATATAAAAGTTTAGTTAACTAAAAATAAATTAATCGGCCTCCCAATTTAAAACCCCAAGCCTATACAATTAAAAACTAATTTGGATAGTTTACCATGCAATCAGTATAAAAAAAACGTTGGAACCGAATAATTTAAGATTGAAAATTTAAAAACAGGGAACGTTATATAAATTGCAAAACAGGGAGAGTTCCAACAAAAATTTAAAACAACCCCCCCCCCAAAAAATCATATTTATAAACGAACGAACAAACAACAAAAATCTGAAATGTCAGATTTGATGGACTTTTTCGGCCATCAGTTTTTTATGTTTCTAGCAGAGGCAGCCGCTTGGATAAAGTTGGGTTTTTTTGCTCATCAGAATTTCCAGATGCGTGTGTCTCCTCCTGGGTCAAAATATTGCAATTTTTTTTTTTTTGGTGAGATTTTTCCTACGCTCCCCGGAAGTTATTTGAGCGAGAATCCCCGCAATTGTTTCTCCCGTCTTTGTCACGCACACAAAAAAATGAACCCAACCTGCCACCCACATAAAGACACAATAGAGATGGAGCCATTGTCAGCAAAAATCACTGGGGGAATTATAACTCGCATATCTGCAGCTGGCTTAGGGCTGGGCACATCTGTACTATTGTTTTCCAGAACAGAAACTTAATTCTTTTTTCTTTCTTTTTTGTAAAATCTTATTTGTTGAAGAATGCAAAGAAATAGGGAACCAAAACCAACTCCAGAAAATAGTATTTAGCGTTTCTCATTGCAATTTTTGGGCTTGACTTGCTCAGGTGGTCCTCGACTTAACGACCGCAGTTGATCCGTTGCTGAGCAAGGAATCGGCTGATTTTACAGTCTCTTTGACATAGCTGTTGAGAGAATCGTTGCGGTTCTTAAGTCGGGAAGACGGTTGTTAAGTGAATCGGGCTTCCCCGTTACTTTTTTAGAAGGTCGCAAAAGGGTGACCCCACCCCCCGGATATTGAAACGGTCATAAATATGAGTCAGTTGCCCAGCATCTGAAGTTTTGATCCAGTGACCACGGGGATGGTGCAGCCGGTCGCATGGAAAATGGCCATATCATTTCTTTTTTTTTTTTCCGTGGACAGTCATTAAATGAACTTGTAACTTCAGTAGCAATATTGAGTTGCAAAAGAGGCAGAGGAGGGGATTTTGGTCGACATCTGGCAGGTGAGGGGACAGTAGGCCTCGGTTCTGATCTTCTCCCCCACCCTTTCTCGTTCTCCAGATGTCTCCCCCATTGTGGCCGGCCTCATCGGGGCCACCGTCCTGGTGGTGTCGGTCTCGGTGACGGTTTTCGTGTGGACCTGTTGCCACCAGCAGCTGGAGAAGAAGCAGAAGAGCGCCCCGTACAAGTTCATCCACATGTTGAAAGGCATCAGCATCTACCCGGAGACCCTGAGCAACAAGAAGAAAATCATACGGATCCGGAGAGACAAGAAGGGCGTGGCCAGGAAAGACGGGAACGGACACCTACTGGCGGACGCGGCCGAAGCTGGCTTGGTGGGCTCCGAAAAAACATCCGGCGGGTTGAACTCGGCTTCTTCCGTCAACCAACTCCCCGTCAAAGTAGAGTATGGAGAAGAACCAAGTCCTCACCAAAGCTTGACCCCGGCGGGGAGCAAGACCTCCTCGTTGTCTTCTCCGGAAGAAGACATCACGCTAGGGACTCTGACCTTCTCGGTGGATTACAACTTCCCCAAAAAGGCCCTGGTGGTGACCATCCAAGAAGCTCACGGGTTGCCGGTGATGGACGAGCACAACCAAGGTTCGGATCCTTACATTAAGATGACCATCCTGCCGGATAAGAGGCACCGCGTCAAGACTAGGGTTCTCCGGAAGACCCTGGACCCCGTCTTCGACGAGACCTTCACCTTTTACGGCATCCCCTACAGCCAGCTTCAGGATTTGGTCCTCCACTTCCTGGTGCTCAGCTTCGACCGTTTTTCTCGAGATGACGTCATCGGGGAGGTGATGGTACCACTCGCGGGGGTGGATCCCAGCACCGGGAAAGTCCATCTGACGAGGGAGATCATCAAGAGGAACATACAGGTACGGCCGGTCAATCTTCTGGGTTTCCAGCTGTGGGTTGTTCTCTGCGGAGGGAGAACCCCCCCTCATGGGAGAGGGGTCCGATTTCAGCTCCCGGGGTGGGCTAGGGGATGATGGGAATTGTAGTTTGACACGGCGAAGGAAGAGGATTGTAGCTTTGGGCGGAGGGAAAGCCAAGTTTGAAGCGAATGAGCTCACAGCCCTCCTGAGCAAGAGATCAGGATGGGAAAGGTAGAACAAACCGAGATGGCCTCAAAGGTAGTTTAGGAAGGGAGCCAGAGGTAGCAGTAAGGCGTATGGGTAGTCCTCGACTTACAACCGTTCATTTAGTGACCGAAGTTTCAACGGCACTGGAAAATCGTTGCGACAGTTTTTTCCACACTTAACGACCGTTGCAGCATCCCCATGGCCAAAATTCAGACGCTTGGCAACTGGCTCATGTTTATGACGGTTGCGTGGTCCCCTTTTGCGACCTTCCGACAAGAAAGTGGGGAAAATCAGATTCACTTAACGACCAAACAGCCGCTGTGAGCCACTTACCCCCCCCCAAAAAAAAAACAGGGCAGGAAAAGTAGTAAAACAGGGCAAAGCTAACTTCACAGATGTCTCACTTAACGACATAAATGTTGGGCGATCTGTGGTGGTCGTAAGTCGAGGACTGCCTGTATTCTCAGCTCCAGGCGGGGCATAAGCATTTTGAGAGACGACAAAAACCGTATGGAGAAATGGGGGGGGACGGAGGATCGAGACCTGTTAGCCACTGCGGTTCCCACCGATCGATCCAAATTACGTCTCGTGTCATTAAAGATGCATGAGGGTTTTGATGGATGGCATTTCCAGAGGTGGAGCCGAGTTAAAATCTCGGCAGAACAGCAGCTTCAGTAACGCCGCGCTATTATCAGATCCGCTGATTAGATAGAATGGATAGATAAGGTAGGTAGGTAGGTAGGTAGGTAGGTAGATAGATAGATAGATAGATAGATAGATAGATAGATAGAATAGATAGATAGATAGATAGATAGATAGATAGATAGATAGATAGATATAGAATTGTTAGATAGATATAGATAGAATTGTTAGAGATAGATAGATAGATATAGAATTGATAGATAGAGAGATAGAGAGATAGATAGAGATAGAATTGTTAGAGAAAGACAGTAGGTAGGTATAGATTAGATAGGGGGAGAGACAGACAGATAGATACTGATAGATTAGGTAGGTAGAGAGAGATAGTGATAGATAGATAAAATAGATTAGGTAGGTAGAGATAGATTAGATAGGGAAAGAGACAGACATACAGACACCGGTAGATAATGATTGATAGATAAGGTAGATTAGGTTGGGAGAGAGAGAGAGAGAGATTAGGAGGGCTAGAGATAGGTGCGGTAGGTAGATAGGTTAAATAATGATGGATGGATGGAAAGTGTAGGTATAGATTAGGGGGAGAGAGAAAGAGACAGACAGGTAGATAATGATATAATAGAAATATACAAATGGATAGATAGATGGATGGATAATAGAGATAGATAGATAGATAGATAGATAGATAGATAGATAGATAGATAGATAGATAGATAGATAGATGATAGATATTAAGAGATAAAGACAGATTAGGAGGGATAGAGATAGGTACAGTAGGTAGGTAGATTGGTTAAATAATGAAAGATAGATAGATAGTGTAGGTACAGATTAGATTGGGGAGAGAGAAAGAGACAGACTGGTAGATAATGATAGATTAGGTAGGTAGGTAGGTAGGTAGGTAGGTAGAGATAGATAGATAGATAGATAGATAGATAGATAGATAGATAGATAGATAGATAGATGATAATGATAGATTAGAGAGAGAGAGAGAAGAGAGAGAGAGAAAGTCTCCCTGGGGACCAGGCGTTCGCCACTGGGCTGCATTTCAGCCTCTCTTTGGACAATCCCGAAGCAACATTTCGAAGACCATCTCTTCATCCCTTAAGCCCTGAATGTAGGGCACGGAAAACCATGGCAACGTAGCCGGTATTCACCGGATTAATAGTGGCTTTGTAACACTCGGCACGGTGCCAAGTTTAATTCCACCGCCGGACAAACTCAAAACAAAAGGAACACACCACCCCCACCCACCCCGATCCATCCCCACCTCCTTCCTTTCCTTAAAAAAAAGCGATTCTTCCAGATTTTTTTTTTTAAAAAAAAGTTTTTATCTGCGGTGTTATTTTTTGTTTTGTTTTGTTTTAAACTCAACCCTTTTAAGGTTGCTGGTGGCAACCAAGCTGGGAAGCTCTCGTCTTTACGGAACAACTAGAAAAGGCCGAACCGAGTACAATGTTTTGTGATTTTTGTGGCTCGCGTTGAGGTTTGAAGGGAGGTAAAAAAAAACCCAACCATTAGGGAGCCCAAAATTTATTCGTTGCTAAGCGAGACCTTGGCGAGTTTTGCCCCGTTTTACGACTTTGTCTTGCCACGTTTGTTAAGCGCATCGCTTGCAGGTGTTAAATTAAGTGGATTCAACTGCTTTCCCCGTTGACTTGGCTTTGTCGCAGGGTGGATTTGACTTAAATCGAGTTGATTTAAATCACGATTTAAATCACTAGTAAAAAGGCTTGATTTGAATCAACTCGATTTAAATCATAATTTTTAAAGAGCAACTCATCTCTGCTACTCCTTTGACCCACTGTTGACTCACCGATAGTCCCAGTGTTGCAGAATATACAGCCTCATGCTACATAACTAAGCTCCGTTTCATGCTGAATAAACTAAATTATTTATGTATCTTAAATAGAAAACTATCTTACGATAGATTTTTACCCCCAAAAGTTTTTTATTAAAATAAATTCAATAAAAATAAAAAAAAATCTGATTTAAATCAAAAAAATCCGATTTAAATCAAAAAAATCTGGGTTTTTTTTTTTTTTAAATCATTTATTTTTATCCACCCTGCTTTGTCACCAGGTCGCAAAAGGAGAATCGTGCGACACTGTTCTGCCTCAGCTATGGACCCCAAAGAATGCAGCACACACAAAGTCCATACAAACCTTAGTTGACTAATTAAAGACTACTAATGATCTTTCTTATTACTCCTTTTTTATTTATTTATTTAGATGTACAGGTTTTTTTTTCAGACTATAAGATGCACCTAAATTAAGAAGAGGAAAACAACAACAAAAGAAGTTTTTGGCCTACCTTTTTTCGGGCTGTTTTCAAGGCTTTTTTGCAGTCCATTTTTGTGGGTTTTTGAGGCCCGTTTTAGGGGGGTTTTTTCCCTCAGAAAAAACGGGCTGAAAAGTGGGCCGAAAAAAGCCTCAAAAATGGGCTGAAAAAAGTCTCAAAATGGGCAGGAAAAAGCCCCGAAAACAGACCCAAAAAAAACTCAAAAACAAGCCAAAAAAAGCCTCAAAAACAAGCCAAAAAAAGCCTCAAAAATGGGCTGAAAAAAGTCTCAAAATGGGCCGGAAAAAGCCCCCAAAACAGACCCAAAAAACCTCAAAAACAAGCCCAAAAAAGCCTCAAAAACAAGCCAAAAAAAGCCTCAAAAATGGCCCCCCAAAAAAGCCTCACAAATGGGCTAAAAAAAGTCTCAAAATGGGCCGGAAAAAGCCCCGAAAACAGACCCAAAAAAACTCAAAAACAAGCCCAAAAAAGCCTCAAAAACAAGCCAAAAAAAGCCTCAAAAACGGCCCCCCAAAAGCCTCAAAAATGGGCTGAAAAAAGTCTCAAAATGGGGCGGAAAAAGCCCCGAAAACAGACCCAAAAAACCTCAAAAACAAGCCAAAAAAAGCCTCAAAAACAGTCCAAAAAAGGCCTGAAAAAGACCAAAAAAAAAGCCTCAAAAACAGTCCAAAAAAGGCCTGAAAAAGACCAAAAAAAGCCTCAAAAACAGTCCAAAAAAGGCCTGAAAAAGACCCAAAAAAAGCCTCGAAAAAAGGCCCAAAAACAGGGCATGTGGAGGGTGAGCAGGGCATCGGCAATATTCTGTCTATAAGATGCACAGACATTTTCGCCCCCTTTTGGGAGACAAAAGAACTGCGTCTTACAGTCCGAAAAATACGGTATATGTACTATCTTTGTATTATTTGTATTTAAAATTTAAAAAATACTTTAAAATAAATATTATTTTAAAATAAATAAATAAAAAAAAAAAAAAACAGTTGTCCGGGTAGCCTCAGGTAATGTAATCCGAGTCATCCAGAAGATGTCTTTTCTCTTCCCAGAAATGCATCAGCAGAGGAGAGCTACAGGTGTCCTTATCCTACCAGCCTGTCACTCAGAGGATGACTGTCATGGTGTTGAAGGCAAGGCAGCTGCCTAAGATGGACATCACTGGTCTCTCAGGTAGAAGCTATTTTCTTCAGCCTATCGTGGGGTTTCCTCAAAAAGCCGGGTGCTAAAAACGTTGATGGACTGTCAACGTTGATCCCAATCCATTATGCTAGAGTTCCCCTACCTTTCCGGGCAGGGGTGAAATGCTACTGGTTCGGATAGGTTCGAGCGAACCGCTAGTAAAAAAAAAAATGCTACGGGTTCGGATAGGTTCGAGCGAACCGATAGTTTAAAAAAAAAATGCTACGGGTTCGGGCGAAACAGTATTTCCGACGATTAGCTGCAACGCAAGAATTGTCGGATTTCCTGCTTTCTAGCTAATCTAAATCGCGTGGCACACAACGGATGCCCTCCCCCTCGCTGTTCTACTTACCTTTGCAGACTCAAAAGGCTTCAAAATTTTCTCTTTTTTTTTTTTGCGCTGCACGAAGGACGCGCTCGGTAGCAGATTTCAGTGGATTTCAGTGCTGTTTCCGGGTTGATGACCTGATTTTCCAGGGGGAAAGAGGGATGATCTGGGGGGAAGGGGGGGGGGTCAGGCACATGTGCCTGTGTGTGAGCACCCGCGACATTCATGGAAATGTTTGTGCGTGTGGGATCTGCGGCGACGCTCACCTGAGAGGCCACGAGTACCTGCAACGCTTGTGGACGACGCACGAGTGGGGTCAGACCGTCCGCAACATTCGCGCGAGGGGGGCCATGCACGCACGTAGAGATGCACACAGGAAGAGATTAGGAGGTTTAGAATAACAGAGTCGGAAGGGACCATGGAGGTCTTCTAGTCCAACCCCTTGTTTAGGCAGAAAACCCTACTCCACTTCAGACAGATGGTTATCCAACAAACTTCCAGTCTTGGAGCATTCGCAACTTCTGGAGGCAGAAGTTCTCACTTCTCATCCAAGAAGCTTCTTCAGTTCTGACTAAAGGGTGGGAGATGGATGGATTTATGTGTTCCTTGCAGTCATCTGGTTGTTAGCACTCCCTCTGAGAGTTCTTCCACCCTCCATCCTTCAGTCAGAACTGAAGAAGCTTCTTGGATGAGAAGTGAAACGTCTTCAAGAAAAGAAAAGAAAAACCAAGTCCAGTTATTTGTCTTTTGAAAAAAAGCCCTTTGGGACAATACTTTGTAGTATTGTCTAAGGTATTCACTTTAAGACCGCCACAAAAAGTCATAAAATCAAGTCTATGATCTGTTTTTAGGAGTATCACAACTTATAGCTGTCAATAGTTAGGCTCCATCTCTAAAGGTTACTCATCGTCCTCGACTTATGACCACAATGGAATCCTGTCCCTTATTAGTCGTAAGTCAAGGACGACAATAACCTTTCAAGGTGAAGCCTGCCCATTAACGGTTCTTAAATTGTGATACTCCTAAAACAGATCATCCACGTTATGGATCAGTGGTGAATAAATTGATTTCTGGTGTCAGAAGTGGGATCATTCTAGACACCAGGTTCGGGAAAACGTAAGGAGAATGCTGTAAGTGGTGCGGTGGCCTAGAGGTGGAGGTCTCGCCTCACAATCAGGAGGCTGTGAGTTCGATCCTAGGAAGAGGCAGATATTTCTCTCTCTGGGCACATTTGAGAATATTATCTGTTGAAAAAAAACTCCGCATTGGCAACAGGGACGGCATCCGGCCAGTAAAAACACTCACCGCCATTCAGTTGCCCAGACTCCATCCCGCAAGGGATTATGGGGTCGTGAAAAGTTGATGATGAGAATGCTGTAGTTTTCTCATTGAAAGATGGAACTGGGCAGCCGTCCTGAGAACAAAATGCTGTGAGGGGAAGGTCAAAATTGGTCAATCTGTCAGCTGTCCAGTTAGCAAATCCAGAAAAAGAAAACTCCTGGGACATAAAAGTATAAAACTTTACTTGAATAAGCCACAATTGGCACAGCAGAAGTGAAACCGGCTCTGGTTTTCGCGCGCAAAAGCAAGTATAAAAACGCTCGTAAGTTGAGGACTAGCTGCAATCCTTCACATCGGTCTGCGACTCCCCGGAGAAGCAGCCCACTTTCTGGACTGTGTTATTGGCCTTTCTCTCTCTTCTTCCTCTTCCTCAGATCCTTACGTCAAGGTGAACGTCTACTACGGCAGGAAGCGGATCGCGAAAAAGAAAACCCACGTGAAGAAGTGCACTTTGAACCCCATCTTCAACGAGTCGTTCATTTACGACATCCCCACCGATCTCCTGCCGGATGTCAGCATCGAATTCCTGGTGATCGACTTTGACCGGACCACCAAAAACGAAGTGGTCGGACGGCTGATCCTAGGGGCGCACAGCGTCACGGCCGGCGGAGTGGAACACTGGCGGGAAGTGTGCGAAAGCCCCCGGAAGCAGATCGCAAAGTGGCACAGCTTGAGCGAATATTAGCAGGGTACACGAGGAAGGCGCGGGTGCGTCGATTCACACCCGCGCCCCACCTTCAAGAGACTTTCTCCCCCCCTCCCCAAGAAACCCCTCCCGTCCCCCAAAAAAACAGCCCCTTCTATTTTAGCCGTAGAACTGACCGTTTCCATAAGAAGCAGCTGACTGGTTCTCTTTTGTGACATTGTTTACAGGGCCCGCACACACACACACACACACACACACACACACAACACGACGACACGAAAACACATACCCAGGTTCTACAAACCGTGGGAAAGGGGGGGGGGGAAGGAAAAAGAGTGCATTAATTTTAAGAATACCACAAAACCTATATTTAAAAAACAAAACAAAAAAAAAGCGTAATCACACTACTATTGCATGCCGATTACAGACGTCGAGAAAAAGAAAAAAAAAAGAAAAAACACCAAAAAAAAATTAGTATAACTTAACCAGTATCGAGATGCAGGTTTTTTTTTTTTTGTTTTGTTTTGTTTTGTTTTTAATTAAAAAAATGCAATTTTATCTGTCACTACGAGAAGTTGTGTTTTTGTGCTGAACAGTCTTTTGCAGGTATTCACAATTGGTTCTATTCAGCTTTTCTTCCTGATTTTCTTTTTCTAAAAAAAAATTACATATATATATATATATATATTCTCGTGTCGATTTGCTGGTTTTTTTCTTCGCTTGCCCCTTACCTCAGTTTGAAAACCTCTTGCCGTTTTTTTTTTCCTCCTATAATTTGGGTGAATTAACTTCGCTTGTACATAACACGCAGTGGCTTTAGAGGCATTTAACACAATTTCCTTTTTTGGAAGTGAGTGGGGGGGGAGGGCGTAAAAAGCAAAATAAAATAAAATATGCCTGAATGGCAAGCGGCTGTTAAAAAAAAAAAAAACCCATTTCCTGTAAAAACAAATGTGGGATTAACTCAGCAATGGACGTGACGTTATCAGCAAATTTTCTGTGAGCAAAAACTGCCCCCCTTCCTGCTTTATGGCTGAATAAACTTTCCAATTTAAAAGAAGCGTTTTTTATTTTGGTTCTCCCCCCCCCCCCAAATTTTAATTTTGCACACCGAAGCAAAAAGATGTGCTTTATTTTATATTTTTTTTCCTTTTAAAAAAAGAAAAACCTGGAATAGTTCTTAAGGAAAAGTGCTCAGGGTATAAATAGATTTAGGGTTATTTCAGGGGTGTGGAACTTGGCTGTTTCGGTTTCACTCAAATCCCCTGTTGGCATGCCAAATCGACAAGGCCGATGGGAGTTGTGATCCAGAAGGACCCATGGTTCCCACCTGTGTGTCTTTCCAGACCTATGGAAACAGTTCTTATTTCTCCACAGGAGTCATGGAAAAACGAAGGATGATTTTTTTTAAAAAAAAATAATAATAATAAAATAATGAACTTCCACCATCACCATAACAGACGGGAATTCTTTTCGTGGAAGCTGCTTTAACCATAAAAATTTTCCCCGAGATGTGATGTCCTTTTTCTTTCTTTCCTTTGCTTTCCACCTTGTGTCTGTTGTAAAAACGATTTTAAAAAAAAGAAAAAAAAATTAAAAAGGAGCTTAAAAAAAAAAAAACAAATTTAAAACTTTGTGAAAAAAAAAAAAAAATGGGTAAAAAAAAAAAAAACCCGGAGAAAACTCAAGCCATGTACAACCGCATAAATGCTGTTCTACTAACCTAACCAACATGTAAAATGCTATGTGTAACGTCAATATTGTTTTAATGCACATCCGGACATTCAAATAAAAGATGGAGTCACTTTATCTTTCTCGATTGTCGTTGATTTTAGCCCTTCGAAAAACGCGCGAGGGTTTGCGTAATTCCCACGCGTCGTGCTAAGTGAAAAATTGGTTTGCAAAGCGATTAACTCAAAAAAAAAAAAAAGACAGGCAGAGCTCAACTTATGACAGTTGGATTTATCGCTGTGCCTCTGACTTGTGACCGTTTTTCACACTTATGACCATTGTAGCACACACAGATCTTCCTTTTGTAACCTGACAAAAGTCAACGGGGAAAACCAGATTCACTAATCGCACAAATGCAGGGATTTCCTTAAAGGTAGCAAGAGAAAGTTGTAAAACGAGACAAAACGCGCTTCACACATTTTCTCCCTTGGCGACGTCAATGTTGGGCTCAATGGGGTCGTAAGTGGAGGACTACCTGTGTTTTATTAAATTTATTTGCCGCCCATCTCGTCGCGAAAAGGACTCCGGATGGGCTTTCCAGCATTTAAAACAACGTTCAAAAAATATATATAGTTCTAAAACACTCAAATTGCTGTTTTCCAAAAGGCAAACGGGCTTTATTTATTTTTTTCCCTGAAGACGTTTCGCTTCTCATCCAAAGAAGCTTCTTTCACTAGTGAAGTGGAATAAAATGCGATATTTTTTTTTTAAAAAAAAATGGAATTTGTTCTCTTTACAGTTTGCAGGGAAAATAAAAAACAGGGAAGGAGGAAGGCTTCGGGATCCTTTACTGCTAAAAAGAGGGATCAAGATTACACTGGTTTTACTATTAATTTCCCCCCCTCTGCCTGCTTAAAAGCTTCCAGATTTTTTTCTTCCCCCCCCCCCCGCCGCTTGCAAGGAGGCGGCTTAAAACCATTTTGCAAGCTCGCCTCCCGGCGGTGCCGCCAAGCGGCCTTTGGCAGCCTCGGCTACTCTGCCCATCTCAAAAGCATCTCCCACCCATTGTGTCCGTCGTCGTCCCCACGCACGCACGCATGCACGCCGGGCGCGCAGTCTCGCCACGAAACCATTACCTCATCCTTCCGCTGCTGCGCCAGCCGCTGCCACCTCCGTGCCAAGAGGCACCAAACTCCCAGGAGAGATGGGAAATGTTTATTTTTCTTCCCTCCGACAATGGCTTGTTTTTTGAAGCCAACGAGGAAGGTTTTTTTTTTTTTTTGCTCTTGCTGATAAAAAGTCTCTTGTGAAGTTGTTTCTAAACCGGTGACGGCGAACCTTTTCGGCACCCAGTGCCCAAACCAGAATGCGCGTACCGTGCATTTGTGCGCGCCGGAAACCCGAAAACCAGCTGGCCGGCATGCACATTCCTGTTTTTGGGGCGTTTTCAAGCCATTTTTGGAGACATTTTGGGGGCCGTTTTCAGGCCAAAAACAGGCCTGAAAATGGCCTGGAAACAACCCAGAAAACGGCCTGAAAATAGCCAAAAACTGGCCTGTTTTTTGGCTGTTTTCCGGCACCTGCGAAGACCAGGCGTGCCAGAAACCAAATTAGCTGGCGACGGCACACGTGCCCACAGAGAGGGCTCTGCGTGCCACTTCTGGCACGCATGCCATAGGTTCGCCATCAGTTCTAAACAGCTGACTACCGAGAAATGGATTGGCATAGATTCCAGTTTCGATTGAATTATATTTTCTCTTATAATTTATATTTATAAAGCACCAAGGACCCCCTCACATAATTACTTTTCGAGAATTTCGATAGATCTATCATACTACCGTGTTTTCCCGAAAATAAGAGCCTGTCTTATATTTATTTGAACCCTGAAATAAGCGCTTGGCCTTATTGCCATGCGCTCAAAAACCAGATTGGGCTTATTATCAGGGGATAATGTCTTATTTGGGGGGAAACGGGGTAGGAGAGTCGGGAATATTTTATTTATCCAGACGATGTTCCTTTGAGGCGCAAAATTATCCCCCCAAAATAGTATACAGGTAGTCCTCCACTTACAACAGTTCACTTAGCGACCAAAGTTACGACGGCACTGAAAGAAAGCGACTGTCCCGTTTTTCACACAACTGTTATAGCATCCCCGCAGTCACGTGATCAAAATTTTCAGGCGCTTGGCAACTGACTTGTGTTTGTGACGGTTGCAGTGTTCCGGGCTCACGTGATCCCTTTTTGCGACCTTCTGACAAGCAATGGGGAAGCCAGATTCGCTTAACGACCGGGTTACGAATTTAACACCTGCAGCAATTCACTTAACAACTGTGGCAAGGAAGGTCCTAAAACGGGGCAAAGCTCACTTAGTAAATGTCTCACTTAGCAATAGAAATTTTGGGCTCAATTGTGGTCGTAAGTCGAGGACTCCCTGTATAGGGGACCCAAAATTATAAAAACATTGTATTAAAAGGACTACAGAATTTCTTGAGATAAATGAATGGTTGATTCTTGAGTTTTAATTTTAAACTTGTTGCTGTGTAGATTTCCAGGATCGGCAACTCACAATTTCACAATTCTTATTCCACTCTTTCACGCCTAAGCGTTAACGTGCACTTTTGTCCTCAATTTTCAAAGTAAAGAAACAGAAGCTCAGGCTTAAAAAAATATTTATTGTATCAAGTGCAATATATATGTGAATCATAAAAGACAGGAATTGTGTCCAAAGAAAGTGCTTAATAATCAGATGTAATCATGCTAGAAAAAAAAAAAAAGATTTCACCATTAGCACCACAAAATACTGAATTCTGCTAAGGCACAAATTAAGAAAGCTGCTTTTTTAAAAAAAATGTTTTAAATTTGGCTTAAACAGCAGGCTTTGAATCCGCTACAAATGCATTCTTGCTTCAAGTCATTTTTTTTTTTTCTGGAATGAGAACTTGAGAAGTAAAAACAAAACAGAACTGAAATTGTGACTCCTTCGGCCACCCATGTTAGCGATGTTATTTACCCTGAAACTACTGTAGTCCCTTTTAAAAAAAAAAAACCTGACATATCTACCACATTATACAGTTATGTGATAATATAAAAATTAAAATTAAGATTTATTCTGCTTCTAAAATTAATAGCTATGGAAAGTATCCAGCATTGTTCGTAACATTTAATTTACTAATTTTAAATACACCGTATATTGCTACAGTCAATAAAATACATTCAAAAATAACTCTTTGCTAAAATGGAATGTGATATTCCTGTTCCTCTCAACTACCAAGTTTCTCAGAGTCTATAAATACATACGTATATCAAACACTATAATCGGTAACATTTGAAAATCCAACATCATTAAAAAAAAATTACCTAGAAGAAATTTCTAAGGCTTCTTCAGTCTCTTAGGAAAAGTAAAAAAAGGAAAAAAAAAGAAAGTTTCCATTGTTTTCTCTCATTCTTTAAACTTGACAAGGGGCTGTCCTATTTCCTGACTCCCTGTAAACCACACACAATTACAAACACTTTGTAAAAATTGCCCCAGGAACGTGTCGTAGCTACTAAAACAGGAAGAAAGGACTCAGACCTGACACGCAGACAGGAAAGCCCTCTGTTTAAAGAGTTAATTCAATTTAAAGCAGGTTATTTTTATTTATTTTTTTGTCAGGGTCACAAGATTTAAGAGACCAACTTGGGGAGGGAGGGAAATTCCACGACCTCCGAGACACACATTTCTCTTACCTTCAACCAAGGACCTTACTCACACTTTTCCATCTCTCATTCCACCTGCAAGCCTATCAAAATCTCCATAATTCATTCATGTGGACTCCATTTTTGGGGTCCATCCACAAGGCACCCCAGGGGAAAAAAACAGGACCCAAACTCTTTTAATTAATAAAAGCAGGTTCGCCCCTTTGGCTCAGCGTGGCCAAAAATCTCAATACTCTAACTAACCAACATGCCTTGTGAAGTTATGCTAGAAAATTTGACCCCGGTCTTCACGCAAGCGAAGTAAATACCTCACCACTCTTTCTTTCTCAAACTCGTCTCCCAAATTCAATTTACCACTTGCTCTATACCGCGCTACAACTTTACACCTCCAATTCACCACGTCCCTTTCTTGCCCCTCGGCATCCCTTCCTACCATTTCTCGGAGCGCCACCCTGATGGACCGCTCGCTCTCCCCCCCCCCGCTTGCTCTCGCACCAAACTGACGGAATCCGACAAAAATCATCCTAATCCTGTGACAGTTTATTCAAATCTGGATCCGTGAATATGATTCCTGAACATCCTCCCCGCTTTGAATCGCGTGTAACCTTTACGCAAAGCAATAAAAGGCAAATTCTGCAACCCCACTTTTGCGGATGCCACGCACGAGGGCGGGAAAGAGGGGGAACGGCCCTCTTTCGCGAAAGAGGCGGCCCCGAGAAACAGATGCTACAGCAGAGAATTTCAAAAGCGTTAAAAAGAGGCTGTGCAGTTCCGTTTGCATCCCGTACCCCGAGTAGGAAATTAAAAACCTGGTTTTTACGGTGTATCCCGTTCTGCCGCCCCCCCCCCCCCGCTCCCCACCTTCGCCTCATCCCACAGGGCTAAAGGATTTGGACTGCTTCTAAACGGTGTCGCCATCCCACTCCATCAAAAGCCAAGATTCCCCTCCAATCCGGACCAAACTGAAGCAAGCAAGGTCGGTTCTCCCTCACGAGGCCAAGAGATGATGGCTTGTTTGCAAAGGTGGCTAGGTTGTTTCTAAGTCCATTGCTTTCTCGGCAAAGCCCGCTCGGGCTGGGTAAGGCAGAAATTGCAAGCAGACAAGGCCGTGTATCGCTGGATGCCGGAGGAAAAATGATTTCGCAGAAAAATGGCCATCTGGGATTTTGTTTTTTGTTTTTGGCACAGATCAGGAGTTCCGTTTACACACTCAGCACAGAGAGAGAGAGAGTTCAAAAGCTGGAGGACTATTTTGCCTCTCTCTGCAAAGCTCCTCCTGGCCTTTTTGGGTGGGAGGGGGGAGAGGAGGAGGGGGTTTTCAGGTTATGGAATTTTTCTTCTTGCGGAAGGGAGATTTCAAGGTTTTCCAAACGCTCGGACGCGGCTTCGACTTCTTCTCCAACGCCATGACGATTTCCTTCTCCTTCCGCCGGATTTCGCGGACGAGGGTGTGGAAGACGTCGTCGATGTAGTAGCGGAAGGCGGCGGAGGTCTCGAAAAAGGGGCAGCCGAACTCTTGGGCCAACGCCGAGCCTTCGTCCTTGGAGACCTTCGGGTGAAGAAAGCGCATGCGAGTGGGGACAGTGAGGGGAAATAAGGGCAGTCCTCGACTTACGACAGCTCGTTTAGTGACCATGCTAGCTGACGCTCTTTGCGAGGTTGTTCCAAACAGCTAACTACTCAGAAATTGACTGGCGTAGAATCTAGTATTTCAGATGGAAATAGAACTGCTTTTCAAAAATCTTGATATATCTACGTACCAGAACAACTTAGAAATACTTGATTTATCCCAACCATGATCCTCTGATGCACAAAATTTATCTCCCAAATAGCAGCTAGTCCTCGACTTACAACAGCTCATTTAGTGACTGTTCAAAGTTACAACGGCACTGAAAAAAGGGACTTAAGACTGTTTTTCACACTTAGGACCGTTGCAGCAAGCAGGTGATTAAAATTCAGCCACTTGGCAACTGGCTCATATTTATGACGGTCGCAAAGTCCCCGGGATCATGCGACCTTTTGACAAGCCAAGTCAAGGGGGAAGCCAGATTCACTTACCAACTGTGGGACTAACTTAAGAACTGCGGTGATTAACGACTGTGGCAAGAAAGGTTGTAAAATGGAGCAAAGTTTACTTCATGTCTCGCTTTGCAACAGAAATTTGGAGCTCAATCGTGGCTGTAAATTGAGGACTACGGGTAAATGTACATTTCAAGCCTTTTTACCTGCCTGAGTTGAGTTAGGTCGGACTTGTTGCCGACCAGAACGACCGGAGTCTCATCCGTACGTCGGACACGGTAGATGAGCTGTTTAAACTCCCGGACTTCGTGAAAACTTCGGCGGTCCGTGATGGAGTAACAGATAATAAACCCCTCGCCAGCTCGCATGTACTGATCTCTCATAGCAGTGAATTCGGCCTGCGGGAAGGGAAAATATGGCTTTTTTGGTTGCCAGCCAAAGAGGTTTCAGCAAGCTTCTTCCTGTAAGCTTTTTGAGGCTGGCAAAGTGCAGGAAACAGCTGGGTTTCCAGAATATTCTGGCGGGCTATTTTTGTTAAGTTAAAAAAAAAACAGTGTAATGACTGTTAGTGGCAAAGCAAGCAGCCGAACTATGGAAGCCGAGCTCCCAGTTCAATTCTGGCCTCCACCAGGAATGCACTAAGAGATTATTTTCAGTTGTCCATACAAAGCGTGCAAACTATGACATGCAACCACCCCAGAGGGCTGTTTAGAAATCACTAAAGCCCAGGAGAGGAAAAAAAACACAACAGGAAAGGCTACATGGTTGTCAAATACCTGGCCTGCGGTGTCCAAAATATCCAGATTAGCAGGTTCGTCGTCAATCCGGATCCGCATTTTGTAAGCATCCTCTACAGGGAGACACACAGGAGGACCTTCAATTTTTTCCCCATAATACACATTCAGCATTAATGAATTTGGGTGGGTGGGGGGGGGCAGAGCGTGCAGACGTGTTTGGGGCATTGTGCAAATATGATCTTGCTGAACGCATCAACAGGAACACTGTTGACACCTGGATTAGCAACAGGTTCAGGTAAACCAAAGACGACCAGCAAACTTCCACTGGTGACCCAGAAACGAAAGCTTCTTCTCCAGATGCTTCTCTCTCAACTCCCATGTTTCTGGGGATTTCCCCACACACCCCCAAGTGACACCTTCCAATCTGTGGCTGAGCTATGGGGGGGAGGGGAGAGAGAGAGGAGAACAGGTGCATTTTAAAGGGGATTTTTTTTAAAAAAAAATTGTAATTTTGCAAGATGCCATGCCATTTTTATTTCATAAATGGATATGGTTAAGGTGGGCTGTATCGGAGAAGAGGCAGAGCTGGGGGCGGAGTCAAGAGAGGACTCGGCCTAGAATCCTTACGTGTCCACAAACACTCCAAATCCAACCCCCCTTGAATTCCCTTAACTCTTATCTAGCGTCAGTTTAGTGCCAAGACTGTTAGTTGATTATACTTATGTATAGGCCTGAAGTGCGTCTAGTCGAGGCGATGGTTTTCCCAGTTGCAATGGATGGCTGTGAAAGTTGGACCATAAGGAAGGCTGAGTGCCAAAGAATGGCGGCCTTTGAACTCTGGTGCTGGAGAAGACTCCTGCGAGTCCCTTGGACTGCAAGGCCATCCAACCGGTCAGTCCTAGAGGAGATCAACCCCGACTGCTCTCTAGAAGGCCAGATCCTGAAGAGGAAACTCAAATCCTTTGGCCACCTAAGGAGAAGGAAGGACTCCCTGGAGAAGAGCCGAATGCTGGGAACGATTGAGGGCAAAAGAAGAAGGGGACGGCAGAGAAGGAGGTGGCTGGATGGAGTCACTGAAGCAGTCGGCGTGAGCTTAAATGGACTCCAGAGGATGGTAGAGGACAGGGAGGCCTGGAGGAATGTTGTCCATGGGGGTCGCGATGGGTCGGACACAACTTCGCAACTAACAACAACAAAGGTCTGAGCGATAAATCAGCTTAACTGGAACTGAGTATGTGGTCCTGATCCTTCCCACCTGATCCTTGCGAATTCATCAGAGATTAGGCAGACGAATGAGGAAGAGTCCCCCAGCATCTAATCCAATAGTCAATTGTTTGAATTCTAAGGGGATTTTGGGGCTGTCTTATTATGTGATTCTAGCTGCACGTGTGGTGCAGAAGTATTGACCCTCCTATATTTTCTGAATTAACTGTAATAGAAAGTAACAGTTCCTCGAATCCTAAAGTTTCGGTTTCTTTATTCAGGGTTCATCCGTAGCTCCTCCCCACAGGGATGGATTGAGCGCAAACGTCATTTCTTCCTTGCAACCTATCCCTGTAGACAAATACATTTCCCTTATCAAGAGTGCAAGGTCAGAGTCGCTGAGACAGCGTCTGGCAGTGCAGCCTGAAAGGGTAATGAAGAGCAGGAGGCACCTCAAATTTAACAGCAATCTCGAGAAGAGATTTGCCAAGAAGACGGGAAGAAGAAGAAAAAATCCCAGAGCACTAGGACAAAACAGCCAGGATGGACTTCTTGAAATTCTTTAATAGATTATAAAGCCTCTTCACTCTCAGCCAGCTGTCAAATCAACAGATACTGAAATGTGTTGGTATTTACAGGACGATTTAAAACAGGCTGGAAGTCCCACCAAACCCAGTTAGACAAGCCTCCATAATTAAGAAAGTAAAAGGTGAAGCAGCAGCCAGACTCACTCACCGATCGTGGGATCGTGGTCTTCTGGGAAACGGTGACTGATGAACTGCATGGTCATGGCTGTGAGGAGGAAACAAGCAGGTTAACACCAAACAAGAAGAGTGACAATGGAGATTGCTCTGAGACAATGCACTGGGAGAAGATTTTGACCAGAGGTTACAAATTTAACTTGACCAGTACCCAGCAACTATCATACTGGGATCTTTAGTTTGGCCAGGTTCTAGAGCCCCGTCATCTGACAGTTTGCTTGCAAGCAATTTCAAAACATGGGCCTTGACTCTACAAATTCAGAGTCAATTCTATACATTCCATTCTGTATTTTATCCATCTTAAATAAGCTGCCTGGAGTCACAGATATGAAGAGGGTGGCTATATAAATCTAATGAGTAATCTATACACTATCCAGCTCTAAATAAACACAATTCTCATAAAAAGTTTCTGCTGGGCCAATCTTAGGAATAAATACATGGTTTCAGCCCACAATAACAAATACACAAGTCTTCGGGCTATAAATAAAAACATTCAATCATAAAAAAGTTTCCGGCATTATCAATCTTGGGATTAAACACATGGTTACAGTCCAAAAATCATAATTACAGATCTCCTGGCTATAAATAAGTACAATTATAATAAAAAGCTCCCAATATATCAGTTTCAAGAGTAAACATGTGGTTTCACCCAAAATAACATTTGCAGGACGTCTGGCTATAAATAAATACAATTATAATAAAAAGCTCCCAGTATGTTTCAATTATAATAAAAAGCTCCCAGTATGTTTCAAGAATAAACAGTTTCACCCCAAACAATAATGGCAATCAATTATCTATCTATGTATCTATATATGTATCTATGTATCTATTGTAGCTATGTATGTATGTATGTATCTATCTATGTATCTATGTATCTATCTATCTATCATCGTCTGTCTGTCTGAATTGCCCATCTCCCTCACAGAGGGACTGCACGATTGGCTTTAACTTAGCACTTGGCTGAACCCAGTTCATTTCAGCTTGGAAACCACACCTGGCAACTGCACCCATCCTGGCTTGTGCAATAAATCACAGTTAAACCATCCCAGTCTCTGGCCTATCATGATTTATCCATTCATCACATTCCTACACCTCCCATCTCATAGGAGTGACTCCAGCGTGGCTCAAGATTATAATAATTTTTAAAAATCATAACATAACTAGGAAGAAAATTAAATGCAAAATTTAAAACTTTATTGTCACTAAATGCACCCTAATCGGCATAGATTAAAATGAAATTGCATTGCATAGCAGCTCTCAAAGGGTCATTTACCTGCAATACACTACATAAACATGACAAAAACATAAATAAGAAATTATGCATACACACACACACACAGGCTTTAGGGCTTCTAGTGGCAGGGAGTTCCACCAGCACTAATTCAAGGCCCAGCCTGGCCCTTTCCTGTCTCTTGCCCTCTTGTTCAAGGCCTTAAAAGTGGGGAGGGGGCTTAATGCTGCCCTCAGGAGCTGCAAACTCCCTCTAAAAGTTTTGGGATTTCTAGTGGCAGGGAGTTCCGCAGGCACTAAGCCCTCAAAACCCAGCCCGGCCCTTTCCCACCTCTTGTCCTCTTTTCTCAAGGCCGTAAAAGTGGGGAGGGGGCTTATTGTCCACCCCTAAGGCACAAACTCTCTCCCAGAGGGGGTTCCAGGTTTCTAGTGGCAGGGAGTTCCGCAGGCACTAAGCCCTCAAAACCCAGCCCGGCCCTTTCCTACCTTTTGTCCTCTTTTCTCAAGGCCGTAAAAGTGGGGAGGGGGCTTTAATGTTCCCCCTCAGGACCTGCAAAACTCCCCTCTAAAAGGTTTGGTGCTTCTAGTGGCAGGGAGTTCCGCCGGCACGAAGCCCTCAAGGCTTCCTGAAGGCATAAAGGGCCTTTTCAGGACCTGCAAAACTCCCCTCTAAAAGCTTTGGGGTTTCCAGTGGCAAGGAGTTCTGCGGGCATGAAGCCCTCAAGGCCCAGCCCGGCTTTTTCCCACCTCTTTTTCTCAAGGCCATAAAAGTGGGGAGGAGGCTTTAACGTTCCCCCTCAGGACCTGCAAAACTCCCCTTTAAAACGTTCGGGGCTTCTAGTGGCAGGGAGTTCCGCGGGCACGAAGCCCTCAAAAGTCCAAATCCGGCCCTTTTCCCCCCGGCCAACCCGACTCTTTTTTTTTTTTTCCCCCTCGCCTCACGTACCGCTTTTCCCGACTCCGCCGGCGCCCAACATCACCAGTTTGTACTCCCGGGGTTGCCCCGCAGGCGGGCCGGAGACGATTCCAACAACCGGGCCCCGAGGCCCGGTGGGCTCCATCCCGCCTCAGAGGCCTTCGGGGCCCCGTCGCGGGGAGCCGTCAACGGGCCTGGTTTTCCCTCAGGCGACGGAGCGCCTTTCCCCGCCTCATCTTCCCGCCCGCTGAGGCGGACAAAATGGCGTCGGCGCCGACGGTGCTTAGCCACGCCCAGCCTCCTCCTCCTCCCCGCTGGCTCCGCCCCCTTACGTACGCTTCACGCCGCCCGCCTTTCCGCGAGAGCGCCTGCGCAAACACACACACATAAAACCCACTCCGCCCCCCCAAAGAGGTCCAGTTAAGGGAGCTTACAATTCCGGTTCTCGAGCGCAACAAAGCGGGGGGGAAAGCACCCTCCGGCGGCGCGGGAGGGAGGCGGTTTCGGCCCGATGGGCTGTGTATTGAACTCAGCGAATGCAGTCGAGGTGGCTCCTCCACCACCACCCCTCCTGGGGAGGTGGGGAGGGTCTTCTGTGGGGGAGAGCGAAAAGAAGAGCAAGGCTGTTTTGAGGGCTCCAAAAGGTGTTGCCTTTCGATGGTGTACCGGAGGTTTGGGTTGCAATCATAAGTCCCACTTCTCTTTGTCCCTTGTGCAGCTGTAAGCTCTAAAAATCAATATACATACATGCATACATACATGTTTTCCCCTTTTTCACTATAATCCCAGTTTGCTGAGGTTAAGGGGCCTCTGCATGTGGAGAAGCAGATTTTAATTCACAAGGGGTGGTGGTGGTGGGCTTCCCCACCTGTTCCTGGGATTCCATCCACATTCTTGCCCTGCAAAAGTCTCAAACTTGCACAAAATAACATATATTATATGTTACATATATATATAAATTATCAATATATTATTTGATTCTTTTTATTAGTTTTATTGTTTTAAATGTGGTTTTATATTCTGTAAGCCGCCTTGAGTTGCCATGGGCGAATAGGCGGCAATATTTATTTATTTATTTATTTATTATATTTCTATACCGCCTTTCTCCCGTAGGACTCAAGGCGGTGTACAGTCAAGAAAAATATAGACACACAAACACCATAAAATTGCTAATTAAAATTATTACTTAGTTTGGTCAATTAAATAAAACCCAGAATTCAAGATAAATTCAAGAAATAAATAACCTGGGGAATTCTGGGAACTGAAGTCAACAGGCGCCAAGGAATTCTGGGAGCTGAAGTCCAGATGCTGGCTGCGGGAATTCTGGGAGCTAAAAGATGACTGGGGAATTCTGGGAGTTGGAGGTCTGCACAAGCTGGCTTGGGAATACTATGTTTCCCCAAAAATAAGACCGTCTTCTATTTTTTTTGAACCCCGAAATAAGCGCTTGGGCTTATTTTCGGGGAGGTCTTATTATTTTGGGGCGCGTGGAGTAAGATGGGGCTCTATTAACCTTCTTACCTGATTTCCAGCTCTGCGTTTTAAATATTTTCGGGGACGGATTTTCGGGGAGGGCTTATTTCAGCGCCATGCGCTCAAAAAGCCCAATTGGGCTTATTATCAGGGGAATGTCTTATTTTCGGGGAAACAGGGTAGGAGCTAGAAGCTGTACAAACTGGGGGATTCTGGGAGCTGAAGTCGACAGAGGCCAAGGAATTCTGGGAGTTGAAGTCCATAGATGCTGGCTGGGGAATTGTGGGAGCTGAAGTCCATAACTGCTGACTGGGGAATTCTGGAAGTTGAAGGTTTGCACAAGCTGTCTAGGGAATTTTGAGAGCTAGAAGATGACTGGGGAGTTCTGGGAGTTGAAGTCAACACATGCTGGCTGGGGAATTCTGGGAGCTGAAGTCCACACTTCTCAAAGGTTGCTGAGGTTTAACAAACACAGGTGGAAATGAAACCTAGGAAAACTTCCTCCCAGGTTCCTTCAACCAGCCTTTTCCTCCAACCCCAACAAACCAAATAACATTTTCCAAAAACAAATTCAGATTCAATGAATTGAATGCTTTTTAGCTTGCTAGAAACCGGAGTCACCTTAAACAGGAAAAAAAAAAAACAGACAAAGAACGGAAGTCGGAGATTTGTACATTTATCGTGAAATTATGGTTTAATTTATTTACAACATGTAGAAAAATCAGAGAACAGAGAGTGAGGTTTGAGGGTGGAGAGGTTTGGTTTGGGGCGAAGCAAACCTGCCAGAAAAGAAAATAATAATCCAGCGCTTGTTCCAATTATTTTAAAATATTCTTTTGCGGTCTGAACACACAGAGAGAGAGAGCTTGAGTCAGTCTGCGGTTCCCCGTTCCCAAGACTGCGCATTTCATCGTGCAGAAAAATAATAATTAAACCCCATATTTTACTTAGGTAACAGTCCGGGTGAAAAGCCGGTTAGTTCTGAACCACAATCCTAATTTTTCGGCTAGGACTGCCTTCTACCCATTCCAGAAGATGTATTATTATTTATTATTATTATTATTATTTTAAAAAAAGGGAAAACCACCACAAAAAACAAAATCTGGCCGGCCGCTCGCCAATTTGGAACAGAAGAGGAGATGGTAACCAATGGCAAAATGGAAACTCGGGTGTTGTTGGTGGAGGAAGCCGGGATTAAAAAATAATAAAATTTTTAAAAAAAACCCCACAGGGCTGAATTCGAAGAGCTGAATTGTCTGAATTCCACAACGTTGTGTGCCGTTCCTTGCCTAAGGAGGCTCGATAAACACGGAGGAAGGCCAAGAGATGAAAAGGTTTTTTTATCAGCCAGGCGAAAGAACTCCATCCGGAATCTAAACGGTAGCCTACACAGCTAACAAAAGCTGCGTTTTCTAATGCTAAAAAAAATAAAATAAAATCAAAATAAATTGCTGGGAAAAAAAAAAAAGGAACAGAAATCCCTTCTGGGAAAGGATTCTAGAGTCCAAAAAAACGAACGATCCAGTGAAAGGTTTTCCGTTCTCCGTTCCAGAAGGCGAGAAGCGTCTCACATACACACACACAGCTCCGGAGGAGGGGAAAAAAAAATCCTTCCCTTCCCGGCGAGAAACGAACACGGAAGGGCAGCCGTGGCGTGGGGCAAGCGGGCTGGCTGGCTGGCGCCTCTTCCAAACGCCGTTTCCCAAAAAAAAAGCTGCTTGCGGAGAAGATTCGGGAGAGCCCAGGCGAGGCGAGGACGCTCCTTTGCGAGGGAATCACACGGAGGATGGGCCGTCGTATCGCCAAAGTAGCCGGCGGTCGTCCGTCCGTCCCCCCCGAGTCACTCCAAATGGCGGACGTTCAGGAGGGAAAGGGAGGGATGGAGAGGGGGAGGAGGAGGTGTGGAAAACAGTCCAGCCACACAAAAAAAAAAAGGAGAGGGGGAAAAAAAAAAAAAAAAGAGGCGTACTGCATCTCACAAGCATGTGCAGAGAGCAGGAGGGGGAGGGGGACACGAGCTTCTGCGTTTGCACGGACTTGTCTTTGATCGGAATACATGCGGTTTTTTTATTGCTCCAGACGGAAGGGCGAAGACCGGGGCGGGTGGGACGGGGACCCTAAGGGGCCATCCAGAACGGCATCTGTTGCTTCACCCGTTGCTGCGACGAGGGATACTGGTACCCTAACCTCCAGGTTTGGGAGTAGCTACTTGCATTTTTGAGACCCCCGTGGTCGTCTTCTTCGTCCGACGAGTCGCCGGTGTACGCCACCAGCCCCAGTTCCTTTTCTCTGCTTTTCATCTTCTTGGACGGATGATCTAAAGAACGAAAAGAGAGGGGGGAAAAAAAAAAGAAAAAAAAAAAAAAGAAAACCAGCCCTTCCCCCCGCCCCACATCGCCCCCGGTTCCCCAAAAACAACAAAAAAAGGGGGAGAAAAAAAGGGAAGAGAAAGACATAAACAATTCCCCCAAACGGGTTAATTTCAAAAAAACAAAAAAAAACACGTTAGTTGGACACCGTTTTGAAGGCCCCCGAATATCATCGGTCACCCCCCAGATCGGTGGTAGTCGAGCGATAACGGCATCCCGCCAACGGTGTTATGGTCCGCCAGTACCATGTAAGAGAACAGAGAGAGAGAGAGAGAGAGAGAGAAAGACACAAAAAAAAGAAGAAAAAAAAAAAGTAAAGTTAGCAAGGCCTGCGCGATCGTGAGCGCTCCGTTTCAAAGAATATATGTCAAAAAAGGAAGAAACCAGGTAGCGTTTTTTTTTTGCCCATATTGGTTTTTCCAAAAAAAAGAAGAGATGACAAACTTAACCATTTGCAAACAGGTTTAGTAGTGGAGTAGTTTTTTTTAAAAAAAAAAATTTAAAAAAAATTGGGGGCCTGTTTTTTTTTTTTTTTTTTTTAAGGGATGGGAAATTAATGCTAAACGACTAATTCCCACGACACTGTCAAACTATTTAGTAAGGCTTGTATTACTATTATTCTTCTCATCTTCTCTATTACCCATCTCCTTTTCTAATTATGACTTAACTTTTTGCTTGTATTTTTACTATTTATATTGTTTCGTTCGGTTTCCTAGGACGATTTATGTTGATTGCTTATTTAGTATCCTATGACCATCACTATCTTATGTAGCTTATGATCGATGATGAATGTTATTTTTATGACGATTTATGATCATGATTTATCACTTATAGCTTTTATGTACTATGAGAACTTATGCGCCGAAGACAAATTCCTTGTGTGTCCAATCACACTTGGCCAATAAAGAATTTCATTTCATTTCATTTCATTTCATTATTTCTATTCTATTCTATTCTATTCTATTCTATACTATTCATTTCCTATTTCCAATTTCCATTTTCTATATTCTTTTCCTATTTTCTACTCTACTCTATTAATTTCCAATTTCCAATTTCCAATTATTTCCAATTTCCCATTCCCATTCTAATATTCTATTCTATTCTATTCTATTCTATTCTATTCTATTCTATTCTATTCTATTCATTTCCTATTTCCAATTTCCATTTCCTATATTCTTTTCCTATTTTCTACTCTACTCTATTAATTTCCAATTTCCAATTTCCTTTTCCTATATTCTTTTCCTATTTTCTACTCTACTCTATTCATTTCCAATTTTCCAATTTCCTATTCCTATTCTATTCATTTCCTATTTCCAATATCCATTTCCTATATTCTCATTCCATTCCATTCCATTCATTTCCCATTTCCCATTTCCCATTTCCTATATTCGTTTCCTATTTTCTACTCTACTCTACTCTATTCATTTCCAATTTCCAATTTCCAAATTCCAAATTCCAAATTCCCATTCCCATTCCATTCTATTCTATTCTATTAATATTGTCATATTATATTATATCAACTAAGGAGGATGTTATCATGTAATGTCTTGTTTGTTGTGGGTTTTTAAAAAAAAAACGTTTTACATTTAACATTTAACATTTAAAAATTTCGATTTTTGTTTTGTATTTTAACTCTCCTCATCAAATAAACTGAATGCGGGTAATCCTCGACTTACGACCACCAATGGAGCCCAACCTCTCTCTGTGGCTAAAGTGAGACAACTTGTTAAGTGAATCTCGCCCCGTTTTAACCCCTTTCCGTGGCTACGTTTGTTGAAGGCAATTGCTGCGCTCGTTAAAGCTAGTCGCACGCATGGTTAAACGAATCTGGCTTCCCTTCTCCCCCCCCCCCCATCAGACGGTCGCAAAAGGGGATCAGCTGATCCCGGAGACACTGCAACGGTCATAAGTGCGAGTCAGTGGCCAAACGTCTCAATTCGGATCGCGGGAATGGCCTGCAACGGTCTTAAGTGTGAAAAACGGTTTATTCCAGAGCCGTGGTTAACTTTGGTCATTAAATGAACTGTTGTTAAATTGAGAACTGTGTCTCTATGCAGGTGGGCCTCCTTGTTTCTGTGCCTGGCCTCGGGGGGGGGGGGGGTCTGCACGGCTTCCTGAGGAAAAGCGAATAGCGTCTTGTGGATCGGATGGGGGAGGCGGCTGGATGGGGGGGCGGGAGGCGGGGGAAAGATGGGGGAGACGAGAGAATCAATCAAGGAGAATATTTGTAGCTCAGGGTTGAAAAATGAGGGGTCCTCGGTGCCCCTTTGAACTAGGTTGTTTCCTTGCCTCACTAAGCACTGATGTTGTTACCTAGTTAGGGTCGTAAAACGTCTGCCAGAAAACAAGCCCAACTCAGAGAGCAACCAAGACGAGAGATGTATTGTGTGACTTTAAAGTTTTCCTGCTGATTCATTGTAATGCTGAGTCATGCTGTAATTAGATAATCACTGGTTGTAAACGTATTTAAGAAAGGTACTGTAACGTATTCAGTTGATGATAAGCTACCATTGTGTGTGGAGCTGCTACCATTGTGCTATCATTGTTGGATGGATCTGCTACCATCGTGGTTTGTGAACCAGAGTGAGTTTGTTATTCTAACCAACTTCTGTTTGTGTGGTATGAAGATTTCTGTATCACTGGACTGATTTAACTGGCAAAGACTTGGATTGGTTTAAAGACTATGAGATTTGTTTTTTCACTATAAAGTAAGCTTTTGAGAAACCAGTTTGCACATCTCTTATCTGTTGCTCTCAGCAACGTTTCTCTGTGCTCTACACTCTGCTGGTTGGTAACACAACAACAATATCCTTAACAGGGATGTTTTTGCAGAGGAGACAGATTTAACAGATTGTTAATCTGGAAGGGACCTTGCAGGTCATCTAGTCCAAACCCACCCACCCCCCAAAACTGTCCAAGCAGGAGAACCTACATCTGCCTCTACCTAGGATCGAATTCACAACCTCCCGATTGTGAGGCGAGAGCTCCACCTCTAAGCCACAGCAGCTGGGCATATCCTAGGCAGGGCTGAGAAATCCTTTCCTCGTTTTTGGGGTGCGTTGGGGATGCTGATCTTGAAAGAGGGTGGAAATAAGGGGGGGGGACCTCCCCCCCCCCAAAGGGACACATCCACTCTTGGGTTCGGGGCCCTACTAACATCTGAGCAAAGGGAAGCTTGAAGGCTTAAGGCCCAGAGGAGGGGGGGAATACCGGCCGCAAGCAGGCCGCCCCGAAGAGGCATCGTCGCAAAAGAAGGCGGAAAAACCCAAGACATGGCGGGCTTCTCGGCTTCACACGCTCACCGTTGCTGCCCCCCAAGGACCCGTTTCGGTCGTCAGACTCCGGCTTCATCCCGGTCACTGGTAACGCCGGCGGTGGCATCAGCTGCCTGTTCGGAGACAAAAAGAGGGTTCTTGAGAAAAAGAGGATACCCAGTAAGGGAGGTGGTTTGGGGGCTAGGAACCAGGAGCCGGGGCGTTTTAGTCCTGCCTTAGGCATGAAAGCCAGCTGTCAGCACTTCAACCTGCATTTACTCTAGTGCTGACATAAGGAGGAGAAGAGGGGGCAGCTGGCAAGAGGACGCTTGACTTTTCACCTACTTATTTTCCCTGAAGATAATATCCCCTAGGAGATGAGATGGGAGGGGGGACTTTCCTGGGAGCTGAAGTAGTAGATATGGGGAGAGTGATTTGGAAGAGGGCCAATGAGACGCAGAGAATTGGGGAACGGAAAGGGAAGGTTTGGGGGTCAGGAAGTCAGTGTTGGCTGCGACATAATCGGGGACAGATTGTCGTGCTTAATAAATGAAAGATTTCATCAAAGACTATTTGTTTGGAAATGCAATTTATTTTATTTGAGACGACATCGAAACCTAACACCGGCTTGGGTGGGACAATGACCAGGCGATGGGGAATTCTAGTCCTCCTTTAGGCATGAAAGCTGGCTGGGTCTCACAATCACCAGGCGATGGGGAATTCTAGTCCCGCCTTAGGCATGAAAGTTGACTGGGTGACTCTGGGCCAATCACCAGGAGACGGGGAATTCTAGTCCCACCTTGAATTCTCAGTCTACCCCGGACTTGGCCCAGTGCTCAGTGGATGGCAGGATTTCCAGACTCTGCAATTAAAGCTTAATCTCAACACAGGCAGTCCTCGATTTACGGCCGCAATTAAGCCCAACGTTTATGTTGCTAAAAGCGAGGCAGTTTGTTCAGGGCGTTTGGCTCTCTTTTACGACCTTTCTTTTCCACGGTCGTTAAGTTAGCGGCACATGACTGAGAATCTGGAGTCCGTCCGTCCCCTGGTTGATTTCGCTTGTCAAAAGGACACCGCAACTCGTCATAAATACGAGTCGGTTGCCTGAATTTTGGATCACGGGGACGCCGTAACGGTCGTTAAGCGTGAAAAGCGGTGCTAAGTCAATTTTTTTTGTTTTTTTTGTTTTTCAGTGGCGTTATAACTTTGAAATGTAGTTAAATCAAAGGCTACCTGTACACACACCTCTAGCATTTCTCAAAGCGGGATTTTGTTTCTCCCCGGCCCGGCCTACCTCGCAGGCTTGTCCCACTCACCTGTCCCTCTCTCTCTCCTTTCCTGAGGAACCTGCTGGCTTCGGGCCGGTCCTATCCATTTCCGTCGCGATGCAGAATCCTGTACCTAAATTAGTCATATGAATGGGTCCATGCTATGAGCAGAAAAACATAGCGGCATTAGCAAACCTAAAACCCAGACGTGAGCTATCAGCTCCTTCATGAAAAAAAAAAAAAAAAAAAAAGGCTCTTTTGCGGAGGCCCCAAAAATTTTCTCTTTCGTTTCCTTCAATAAGGATACGGCCAGCATCCTAGAAATTTTATTTATTTATTTTTTTTAGGGACCAAGGGGTTTGGAAATTTGCCCATACGGGGTAGATGCTGACGCTAACTTTTTTAACCAGGAGCGAACAAGGCTCAGGAAGAATTCTCTCCAACCTGAATGAGCTAAAACCGGAAGAAATTTAAATTTCTATTTTTTTTTTACAATTCGGAAAGCCAAAGGAGGAGCCATTCGGAGGCTTCGTTTAAGGCCTTCAATTTGGAGCTGTCTTTATCCCACCGTGTTTTCGTGGACCTTGTGCCTGGATAGCTCTGCAGACTAAGCACTGTAATTTAACACCAGCTGTCTGCAATTAAAGTAAGTTCGAATCTCTCCAAGGCTCAAGGTTGACTCGGCCTTCCATCCTTTCTAAGGTAGGTAAATTGAGGACCCAGTTTGTGGGGGCAATAAGCTGACTTTGTATAAAAATATACAAAAGGATGAAGGCTATTGCTTAACGCACTGTAAGCCGCCCTGAGTCTCCGGAGAAGGGCGGCATATAAATCATTTTTTTAAAAAAAATAAAAATTTAAATTTAGCAGGTCCTCCTCGTCCTAGGATCGTTGTCGGCCGTAAAGCGGATCGCCAGGGGACCAGGTCGGATGATATCTCTTTGGCAGCGGTTATTAAAACAAATTCAGCAGTTCGTTTCAGGAGGATGGGAAAGCCTTCAGAGCCCGGGGAGGGCAAAAAAAGCCCCCCCCCAACCACCCGCTGTGGTGCAGGAAGCTGACTAGGCCACACCCACCATGGCCACGCCCACCCCGAAACACGGTAGAAAAATTCCCCGCGTCCGCCCCTCCCAGGAGACTCCACGCGGCCTGTTTTGGATGCCAAGGCCTGCGCGAAGGCTCTGGGAGGGCGAAAAACAGCCTCCCGGAAGTCTGGGAATGGGTACGTTTCCAGCATCCGGAGCCCAGGGGAGGCTGTTTTCACCCTCCCGGAGGCTCAAGAAAAACCTCCGGAGCCTGGGGAGGGCGAAAACACCCTTCCCACCCCCACCCCTGGCCGCGGTGCAGGAGGCGAGTAGGCCACATCCATCCAGCAACTGGGCAGAGAACCGGTTCCTAAAATTTTTTAAATCCCACACCCTGCCTGCAAAGACATATCGTTGTCATCTTTTCCAAAAAAATGGTTAGGGGGAAAAAAATTCACTGAGCAAACTCGCAGGTTTGCGAAGTTTGTAGAAAGGAGAAGCTTGGGAAAGAAAGCTTTTAACTTTTCTCTAAACTAAGACTTTGGATGACTTGATACGCAATTTTGTGGAGGGTGTTCCTTTTAGCAACACATGAGGAATGGTGCTTTTTTTTCCTCCCCTTCCTGTCGTTTTCACGCCCCAGGTAAGAAAATTCTTAAGTTGTTATGAGTTACAATTCCCAGCCACTTTCATTAATAAGCTGGCAAGCAAACGGGGCATCTTCCCTCATTTTTTGTATTGCGATTTGATCGAAATTAAATCGATCTCTTTTGAAAGCAACTGAAAGAAATCTCCGCGATTCGTCACCTCTAAATCTGGCCTTTTAAATCTGCCCCCCAAAGACTTCTGTTTTGAAAAAAGATTATTTCAAATTTCCCCCTCCAAATGCCTCCTTTTCCCCCCCGCCCTTTTCCTAAAATCTGGTATGACACCCAAAATTTGAATTCCATCGCTCAGCCGTGGCTTTTGAGGGAAACAAATCTCCCTTGCAAATCTTAAATTTTTTTCACGCCTGGAGATACATTTTCTTTGGTAGTTTTTTTTTTTTTAAATTTCAGGACAGCAGCCGCTGCAAATACAGGCAGTCCTCGCCTTACGACCACAACCGAGCTCCAAATCTCCATTACTAAGCGAGACAGCGGTTAAGGAGGGAGCTTTGCCCCGTTTTAACGACCTTTCTCGCCACGGCGGCTAAGCGAATTCCCTGCAGCCGTTAAGTTTGGTATCCGGCCGGTTAAGCGAATCCGGAAGTTCTCCCGTTGTCTCTGCTCGCCGGGAGTTCGCGAAAGTGGGGGGAGGGTTGCGTGACACCCGCCCCCCCCAGGGGCCGCTGCAACCGTCATAAATACGAACCGTTTGCCAAGCATCCGAATATGGATCGCGTGATTGCTGCGACGGTCGTAAAGTGTGAAAAAAGGGGTCGTTTTAGTGCCGCTGTCAAAATCGAACGGTTGCTAACTGAATGGTTGTAAGTCGAGGACTAACTGGTCTCTCCAAAACCACCACCCCAAGTCTTAAAAAAGCCCGTGATGACCTCCGACCCAAACGGGACACATCTTCAGCACAACTGGCCCCTACGGAGAGACGGTTGGCCCAATTAATGCTTGAATGACCATTTCGGAGGTTAGTTAGGATCTAAACCCTACTAAACCCTAAACCCCCCCTCCGAGGGGGAATAGGAAAATGGGGCTGACAGAGAGAGAGACAGAGGCGGAGCCTGGGCCGTCCGTCAGCCCTCAGATGGAGAGTCAACAGCCCCCAGGTCTGGAAGTGGCTGATGAGGAAGAGGAGGAACAGCTGGGTCCAGTGCCTGATAGAAGGCAGAGGAGAGGAGAGCAGTGGAAATCTATGGGCCGGTCCTTGGGACGGAAGAGCCACCGCTGCTAGCGAAGCCCCACCCTAACTCTAAGGGTGCCCACTCTAAGGCACCCTGTTATTAAGCTGGTTATTAAGATCAGATGCCTGCAATTACTGCAGGTTCGAATCTCGCCAAGGCTCAAGGTTGACTCAGCCTTCCATCCTTTCTAAGGTAGGTAAAATGAGGACCCGGTTTGTGGGGGCAATAAGCTGACTTTGTATAAACATACAAAAAGGATGAAGGCTATTGCTTAGCGCATTGTAAGCCGCCCTGAGTCTCCGGAGAAGGGCGGCATATAAATCTAATTAAAAAAAAAAAACTCTGGGGAGAAAAGGCAGGAGGCAGAGATGAATAGGTGTGGCAGACAACTGATTAGGGTTAGCTTGTTAGCCTGCGAGAGAAACTTTTTGCCGGAGTTGCCGGCACTCCTAATGAAAGGAATCTTTTGAGCTGACATCAGAGGGTTCGTCGTGTTTGGGGAGCTGTCTCAGAACACCCGCAATCGTTTTGATTTCAAAGGTGAAAAAGGGGGAACGGGGAAGCAGGTAAGGAAACGACGGTGGTTTTACTGCACCTGATATCCCAGCAATCCGGATTCGTGCTCGTCGGGAAGCTCCTCGGTGAACCGTCGTTTTTGGCCCGGTTGAGGAAGGGGCTGCATCGGGGGCTGCGTCCCACTCGGCAGGGGGGTCTTTCCAGGAGCAGCAGGCAAGAAAGGAGCGGTGAGCGGGGTCTGGAAAGAGAGAGAGACACACACACACCAAAAAAGGTTTTGAAACGGACCCCTAAAAGTTAGAAACGTCATTCAAAAGGCACAAGGAAGAACGCCGTATTCTTTCTTTTATTCTTATTTCTGCTTTATTCTTCTATTCATTTACTTTTTCTTTAACCTTGCTTTTGGTGTCTTCGGATAATAATAATATAATAATAATAATAATAATAATAATAATAATAATAATAATAATAATATAATAATAATAATAATAATAATAATAATAATAATTTTATTTCTATACCGCCCTTCTCCCGAAGGACTCAGGGCGGTGTACAGCCAATTTAAAAACACAAGACACAACAATAATTAAAAACTAAAATAATTAAATAGATTTGGCCGATTTAAAACCCTAAAAATTAAAATACCCCAATTTAAAATTATTATATTGACAGCCCTGCCTGGCGGAACAACAGGGTCTTCAGTGCGCAGCGGTATGGTTTACGGTTGTGAGCCGCCTAGAGCCGTGATGGGGCGAACCTACGGCACGCGTGCCAGAAGCGGCACGCAGAGCTCCGTGGGCACATGCGCCATCGCCAGCGGCTTCTGGCACATGCATTGCCACTGGCCAGCTGGTCTTTCTGGGCGCCGGAACGCCCAGAAAATGGCCTGAAAAAACGGCCAAAAAAGAGGCCATTTTCAGGGCCAAAAACAGTCCGAAAAAACAGCCTGAAAATAGCCCCAAAACAGGCATGCCTGCGCCAGCCAGCTGGTTTATGGTGTTTTCGGCACTCTGGTGCGTGCACCTGCATGGCCAGGTTGCGGTATTTCATGATTTTTTTTCCCCCGAGTTCTTTTTCTTCGACTCTGGCGTCTCCTGGGACCGCGATGTCAATAAATTGTACGTTTCGGTTTTCGACAACTGTGATATTTGGCATGTTGTGTTCCAAGTGACGATCCGTCTGTATCCGAAAGTCCTACAAGATCTTCACCATCTCGTTTTTGACAACTCCTCCTCCTCATTATCATCATCTTCACACATCCAGCCAGATATTCAGACTGCATTTATCGTCATCATCATATCGCACATTCAGCCAGATGTTCAGACTGGATTCATCATCATCTTCACACATTCAACCAGATGTTCAGACTGGATTCATCATCATCATCATATCACACATTCAGCCAGATGTTCAGACTGGTTTTATCATCATTATCATATCACACATTCAGCCAGATGTTCAGACTAGATTTTCATCTTCTTCTTCACATTCAGCCAGATGTTCAGACTGGATTCATCATCATCTTCACACATTCAGCCAGATGTTCAGACTGGTTTTATCATCATTATCATATCACACATTCAGCCAGATGTTCAGACTGGTTTTATCATCTTCTTCTTCACATTCAGCCAGATGTTCAGACTGGATTCATCATCATCTTCACACATTCAGCCAGATGTTCAGACTGGTTTTATCATCATTATCATATCACACATTCAGCCAGATGTTCAGACTAGATTTATCATCTTCTTCTTCACATTCAGCCAGATGTTCAGACTGGTTTTATCATCATTATCATATCACACGTTCAGCCAGATGTTCAGACTGGTTTTATCATCTTCTTCTTCACATTCAGCCAGATGTTCAGACTGGTTTTATCATCATTATCATATCACACATTCAGCCAGATGTTCAGACTGGATTCATCATCATTTCACACATTCAACCAGATGTTCAGACTGGATTCATCATCATCATCATATCACACATTCAGCCAGATGTTCAGACTGGTTTTATCATCATTATCATATCACACATTCAGCCAGATGTTCAGACTGGTTTTATCATCTTCTTCTTCACATTCAGCCAGATGTTCAGACTGGATTCATCATCATCTTCACACATTCAGCCAGATGTTCAGACTGGTTTTATCATCATTATCATATCACACATTCAGCCAGATGTTCAGACTGGTTTTATCATCTTTATCATATCACACGTTCAGCCAGATGTTCAGACTAGATTTATCATCTTCTTCTTCACATTCAGCCAGATGTTCAGACTGGATTCATCATCATCATCATATCGCACATTCAGCCAGATGTTCAGACTGGTTTTATCATCATCATCATATCACACATTCAGCCAGATGTTCAGACTGGTTTTATCATCATTATCATATCACACATTCAGCCAGATGTTCAGACTGGTTTTATCATCTTCTTCTCACACATTCTCCATGTTCAGTTCAGACTGGTTTTATCATCATTATCATATCACACGTTCAGCCAGATGTTCAGACTAGATTTATCATCTTCTTCTTCACATTCAGCCAGATGTTCAGACTGGATTCATCATCATCATATCGCACATTCAGCCAGATGTTCAGACTGGTTTTATCATCATCATATCGCACATTCAGCCAGATGTTCAGACTGGATTTATCTTCTTCTTCTTCACATTCAACCAGATGTTCAGACTGGATTCATCATCATCATCATCATCATCATATCGCACATTCAGCCAGATGTTCAGACTGGTTTTATCATCATTATCATATCACACGTTCAGCCAGATGTTCAGACTAGATTTATCATCTTCTTCTTCACATTCAACCAGATGTTCAGACTGGTTTTATCATCATCATCATCATATCGCACATTCAGCCAGATGTTCAGACTGGATTTATCTTCTTCTTCTTCACATTCAACCAGATGTTCAGACTGGATTCATCATCATCATCATCATATCGCACATTCAGCCAGATGTTCAGACTGGTTTTATCATCATTATCATATCACACATTCAGCCAGATGTTCAGACTGGTTTTATCATCATTATCATATCACACATTCAGCCAGATGTTCAGACTAGATTTATCATCTTCTTCTTCACATTCAGCCAGATGTTCAGACTGGTTTTATCATCATTATCATATCACACATTCAGCCAGATGTTCAGACTGGTTTTATCATCATTATCATATCACACATTCAGCCAGATGTTCAGACTGGTTTTATCATCTTCTTCTTCACATTCAGCCAGATGTTCAGACTGGATTCATCATCATCTTCACACATTCAGCCAGATGTTCAGACTGGTTTTATCATCATTATCATATCACACATTCAGCCAGATGTTCAGACTAGATTTATCATCTACTTCTTCACATTCAGCCAGATGTTCAGACTGGTTTTATCATCATTATCATATCACACGTTCAGCCAGATGTTCAGACTGGTTTTATCATCTTCTTCTTCACATTCAGCCAGATGTTCAGACTGGTTTTATCATCATTATCATATCACACATTCAGCCAGATGTTCAGACTGGATTCATCATCATCTTCACACATTCAACCAGATGTTCAGACTGGATTCATCATCATCATCATATCACACATTCAGCCAGATGTTCAGACTGGTTTTATCATCATTATCATATCACACATTCAGCCAGATGTTCAGACTGGTTTTATCATCTTCTTCTTCACATTCAGCCAGATGTTCAGACTGGATTCATCATCATCTTCACACATTCAGCCAGATGTTCAGACTGGTTTTATCATCATTATCATATCACACATTCAGCCAGATGTTCAGACTGGTTTTATCATCATTATCATATCACACGTTCAGCCAGATGTTCAGACTAGATTTATCATCTTCTTCTTCACATTCAGCCAGATGTTCAGACTGGATTCATCATCATCATCATATCGCACATTCAGCCAGATGTTCAGACTGGTTTTATCATCATCATCATATCACACATTCAGCCAGATGTTCAGACTGGTTTTATCATCATTATCATATCACACATTCAGCCAGATGTTCAGACTGGTTTTATCATCTTCTTCTTACATTCAGCCAGATGTTCAGACTGGTTTTATCATCATTATCATATCACACGTTCAGCCAGATGTTCAGACTAGATTTATCATCTTCTTCTTCACATTCAGCCAGATGTTCAGACTGGATTCATCATCATCATATCGCACATTCAGCCAGATGTTCAGACTGGTTTTATCATCATCATATCGCACATTCAGCCAGATGTTCAGACTGGATTTATCTTCTTCTTCTTCACATTCAACCAGATGTTCAGACTGGATTCATCATCATCATCATCATCATCATATCGCACATTCAGCCAGATGTTCAGACTGGTTTTATCATCATTATCATATCACACGTTCAGCCAGATGTTCAGACTAGATTTATCATCTTCTTCTTCACATTCAACCAGATGTTCAGACTGGTTTTATCATCATCATCATATCACATTCAGCCAGATGTTCAGACTGGATTTATCTTCTTCTTCTTCACATTCAACCAGATGTTCAGACTGGATTCATCATCATCATCATCATATCGCACATTCAGCCAGATGTTCAGACTGGTTTTATCATCATTATCATATCACACATTCAGCCAGATGTTCAGACTGGTTTTATCATCATTATCATATCACACATTCAGCCAGATGTTCAGACTAGATTTATCATCTTCTTCTTCACATTCAGCCAGATGTTCAGACTGGTTTTATCATCATTATCATATCACACATTCAGCCAGATGTTCAGACTAGATTTATCATCTTCTTCTTCACATTCAGCCAGATGTTCAGACTGGATTCATCATCATCATCATATCGCACATTCAGCCAGATGTTCAGACTGGTTTTATCATCATTATCATATCACACATTCAGCCAGATGTTCAGACTGGTTTTATCATCATTATCATATCACACATTCAGCCAGATGTTCAGACTAGATTTATCATCTTCTTCTTCACATTCAGCCAGATGTTCAGACTGGTTTTATCATCATTATCATATCACACGTTCAGCCAGATGTTCAGACTAGATTTATCATCTTCTTCACATTCAGCCAGATGTTCAGACTGGTTTTATCATCATCATCATCATATCGCACATTCAGCCAGATGTTCAGACTGGATTTATCTTCTTCTTCTTCACATTCAACCAGATGTTCAGACTGGATTCATCATCATC